CTGACCAATTAATACTAACACTTGCCCATTCTATTCTATTCTATTCTATTCTGTCTATTTTTTTGAACACCTTGCTATGTGCACTGTGCTAGACTGAGACTGGTCACAACACTTGTGTATTGTTGCTCTCTCGTTGGTCTGATTGCTTCTGCTTCGAAAGTCGCTTTGGATAAAAGCGTCTGCTAAATGTAAATGTACATGTTTGTAATATGGAAGTAAAGCCCCGAGCACACAAGCTGATCACTGGCCAGTCTGAATATGAATCATCGGAATATCAGTGTCAGAGCTGACATCCAAAAAATACTGTTTAGTCATGTTAGTTTGTTCAACCAGCTGTACAAACATGGTTAAAAAAAACTAATAAAATAGATATAATATTAAAACTGTAATATTGTGAAATACAGTGTTGGGGAAAGTTACTTTTAAAAGTAATGCATTACAATATTGCGTTACTCCATAAAAAAGTAACTAATTATGTTACTTAGTTACTTTTTATGGAAAGTAATGCGTTGCGTTACTTTCGCGTTACTTTTTAAATCTGGACAGGGCTTGCTTGTTTGTTTTTAAAATAAAAAAGTTATATTTTTGGCAAATATAAAAGCCTTTTCACACCAAAAGTGAAATGAATAAGCTTCAGGCTGAAGGGAAAGTACATTTACGTATGTACAGTAGAATTTTCAGCACACGTCAGCAATAAAAAAGACACAAATGTTTATCTAGAGAAATTTTTGCTTATTAGAACTGGATCATCGAAGGTCAGAAGCAAAGTCATTGGTTAATAGAATGGATTAAATACATAAAGCATATTTGTGTTGTTTAACATTTAATTATTGCAGGTTTGCGTCATATTCTGAGTTGCATTATTTTTATTCATTTTGAGGAATACTGAATCTGTGTTGTTTTTTTTTGTGTGTGAGTGAGTGAGTGAGATGAATGAATGCATATTCATATTTATTTTAGAACTACAGTAACATCTTCTGACTTCTCTCAACATGGGGACAGGAGAGCTGTCAATCAATACATTGGAAAAAAAAAAAGGTAACTTGCGTTACTTATTTGAAAAAGTAACTGAGATATTCTATTGTAAATTAAAAAGTAATGCGTTACTTTACTAGTTACTTGAAAAAAGTAATCTGATTACGTAACTCGCGTTACTTGTAATGAGTTACCCCCAACACTGGTGAAATATGATTACAGTTTAAAATAACTGTTTTCTATGTGAATATATATGTTAAAATTTAATTTATTCCTGTGATCAAAGCTGAATTTTCAGCATCATTACTCCAGTGTCATATGATCCTTCAGAAATTTCTGATTTTTATCAATGTTGAAAACAGTTGTGCTGCTTCATATTTTTTTGTGATTGTTTCCAGGATTCTTCGATACAGAAAGTTTAAAAGAACAGTATTTATTTGAAATCTTTTGTTGCTTACTGACTTAAAATCTTAACTAAAATCTTAATGACCCCCAACTTTTGAACGGTAAGGAATAAAAATAAGCTTTATACATAGAAACGGGATAAACATTTTGAGATGCCTCCTGACAAACATAACAAAATACATGTGGAATATGGAATATCACAACTGTTTTGGTACCAGCATTCTTCTAAATAAAAGAAAGAAACTCATTTAGAAGAAGTGGAGGGTGGGTAGCTAAATGATGACAGTAACCAGCCTAAATGAAGTAAATGGAAATGATTTTCATTTTTAGGTGAACTATCCATTTAACATAAATAGTATGTGACCACCGTGGTGGGACCAATAACACTGTCCCTTTTGATAACAATATGTCATCGATCATAGATCGATCTGCTAATGCTTGTCTAATCAGTGTAGCTCGCAGCCCCCTCTGTTGGTGTAAATAACCACTACACGATTGCTCAGGCAAGCTATGTTGTTCATTCTTTTCTGCAGTGCATTTTATGTGGTGTTTTAAAAGTGAGTAAAACGGGGACATTTCTGGGAACAACTCCTGTCGGGGACAGGACACCAAAAACCGGCACTGTCAATGTAAATTAGAGCTCTCTCATTAAATTGCTGCTAGTGAAAATGCAGTATGGCAAGCCAAGTTAGCATTCACCCAGCGTTACTCATCATAATTGCATTTTTACTAGTAACAATTATTAGAGAGTTCTATAATCACAATTGTTATTTGTAAGAATTAAAGGCATAATATGTAAGTTTTCACCACTAGCGGTCGCATTTTCAAAGGAGAAGCTTGATGTGGAACGATAGGAGATGTCGTTTTCACCATCTATGAATCATGTTCACAGATGAGGTAATGAATTATTTGTATTTATTTATTACTTGTACCTTTCACAGTTATTCAAACAGCAAATAAATTAACAGAGAATGCGAGCAAAGAACATTTACATTGTCAAAACACATTATGATTAACTTCAGTCTAGTGCGAGTTTAAGGAATATAAAAAACCTCCCCTTACAATCAATAAAGCTGTCTATAAACTGTTTGATGAATTAATCTCTTACTTACATGATACGTACATCTGCACTTTGTTGTTTATGATGAGAGAATTTGCGTGAGAGCAGAATTCAGTCAGTCAGTCTGAACAAAACACTGTCGTTTCAGCGATGACTCATCTGAACGCCTCTGATTGGCCATTGCATTCATAAGCTCAACAGACTCGTGTGTGATTGGTTATAATGCACAACACTGTAAAAATGCGTAAAATGAATCGTGGTGCAACATTGAGCAGACGCAATTTTAATGCTGCAGGCATTACTTTTCATTTCATTTTCATTTTATTCGCAACAGCCGAAATGGATTTGGTTTAACATTTTTTTTAATGCCTACAAGCGGAAACTGAGGATAGTGCGGATATTACGTCATTGATAGGCGACAATGTCCAGGGACGAGCCATTATTTAAAATTGGAATTTCTCTGGATTTATAAATCCTTGGGAACTTTTGGGATGACATAAGTACACATCTGCATGACGTTGGCGGTGTGGACCGGAAGGGTTACACTGGTAAGAACTGATTTAGAGAGCTCTATTCGTAACTGTTACTAGTAAGAATTAAATTAGGGGGCTGTCTCACTGAATTGTTACTAGTAAAAATAACGTTATTATGAGTAACACTGAAAATATTAAAAGCTATGGCAAGTTAAATTAGCTTTAATTTTGTTGTAATTGCAATTTTACTAGTAAGAATTGAATTAGAGGGCTCTCCAATAGTGTTGTCAAAAGTACCGACCGCAATACCATTCGGTACTGAAATTTTAAAAATGTCTTACCAGCGGATCTGTCTATGTGCAGATATATTAGGGATCCTCTGACAGTGACGGATCCGCTGATAAATGCGGCTTTCTTCTGTAAAATACAGGTTTGTGTACATTTTTTTATATATATAAAATCGTTACTGTGTTGTATATTGTTAAATTTTATGCAGAGCAACATAGAGGCGTGTGGTGTGAATCACCTAAACGAGTGTCGCTCGCTTCAGTCTTATCGCGTGATGAAAAAGCCCAATGTTTTACATAAAATAAACGATTTTATTCATCAAGATACAGAATACAAATACTTTGGATGTTAAAATATTTCCTCAGAGCTGTTTTTTTGTGGGCAGGTTATGGAGGCGGTTGCAGTATTTCGGCGATGAGTGAAACGCAACAGAATAACAGAGAGTGGTTGATTACAAGTTCTGTTTAATGTTTAATTTTTACTTCTAATGTTTGTTAAACGAGTTGAAATAGGCAATATGTATAGCCTACATAAAAACGATGAACAATGCTGTAAAATTATAAATAAAGGAAAATAAAGGAAGTTATCATGCAAACCAGTGGTTGTGGAGTATGTTACAAAAGTTTAAATGATTTAAGTTCATCTGTAAACATTATTTCATGTATATACTATGTATGTATGTTATGTATTTATGTATATATTTCAAGTAGAAAATAAGCTTGTATTATAATAAAAATGAATCAACCCATTATGATGGATTAAATAAACAACCCAATTTGCTGGGTAAAATTAACCCCAAATGTGTTCTGTCCTATATTTACCCAGCCCTTGGGTTAAAAACAACCCATATTGGGTTATTTTTAACCCAGTGTTTTTTCAACAGCACTCAGATGTTAGCGGGAAATTGAAGTTTTTAAAAATTTCAGTCCCGAATGGTATCGTGCTCGCTACTTTTGACAACATTACTCTCTAATGGAATTTTTACTAGTAAAAATGCAGTTACTATGAGTAACGCTGAAAACATTAAAGGGGTCATATGATGTTGCTAAAAAGAACATTATTTTGTGTATTTGGTGTAATGAAATGTGTTTATGCGGTTTAAGGTTAAAAAAACACATTATTTTCCA